ATGCAGCCCTGGGTGCTGGAGCACCCGTGTGGAGACCCCCGCCAGCACTGAGATGTTTACACATTCCCTGACTCGGCTTTCCTCCTGCAGTCGGCATCAGTGCACCTGCTTTCTGAGATGGAGGAGGACTTTGTGGATTGGTGTTGGACATATGGGTTAATGTTGGATTTGTGGGCTTGGGCAGCCCTGGGTTGGAATGTTTTCTTGATGTGCAGTTAACCTTTATATAAAACCCTCTCTTACACATGCGTTTCTGTGGATTTGTTTCTCTAAAGTTCCCAGCCTAACACACAAGGTAATGATAGTGATGGCCCAGAATGGAAAGAGGACACGTAAGAAAGAAATCACTATTGTTTTAGCTCACTCACACTTAGGGAAGTTTACTAAAGTAGCAAATTCTAGCCTATCATGATGGATGCATAAATTAGTATGAGGACCGGGGCACGGCTGTAAGAAACACACGTGGTATTGGCTTAGAAACAGGACCAAGGGGACAAGGAAGCTCATGCGGAGTCAGAAGACTGTAGCCTGGCGTGCTTTGGAAGGCATGGATGGGATCCAGAGCGCCGGGAACGAGTAATGCCCAAAGCTGGCTGGACATTGAGATGGCCTTGGAGAGACAAAGGACAGATGGAACTCACACTTGTGGCAAAGATCCAATCAGCGGTGTGCTGCTGTTGTGGCTGCCTGCTGTCAGATCCAGCCCCGCCCACAGTGGCGCCATGTGCTGCAGGACCTCCGGAGGTGGGATGGTGCCAGGTTGGGCAGCTGCTCTTAAAGCTGACCGTTGGAGCCCACCAGCCACTCCAAGGGAGAGAGATGAGGCTCTCTACAGTCTCACTCTTTACTGTCAACAGTGAGTTCAGAAATCCACAGGGCAGCTCGACCTTGTTGTGTGAGTCTGGGTAGACTAGAGAAACAAATCCAGAGACATTTGTATGTGTCTAAGAAAGAGCTTTATCTACAAGAGCAACCGAACATTGAGAAGACATCCCAGCCCAGTCCAGATCAAGTCCATAAGTTCACTATGAGCCCATATGTCTGATACCAATCGATAAATTCCTCTTCGACTCATGAAACACACGCAATGTCACCAAATGCAGGAAGGTCACAGGCCGGTGGGTGGAGTGCCTTATGGACCCAGTGGCAGTGGAAGCATCTCAGCGCTGGCTGGGGTCTCCACGTGGCTCCTCCAGCTCCAGGGCTCTAGCATAGCTCCATGTGTCTTGTCATCAGGAATACCATGCAGAGTGTGTATGTGTCCCACCTCCAGTGAGCTATTTATCCCTTCGTGCCTCCAAATGAGCTCATCAAGCTGCGACTTGATTGGCTCGCAAAAATCCACCCCTTCACTCTTAATAGCCTCAAGTTGACACTGGATTCTGTAACTACCACACCTGTCCTATAGGGTCGCCATGAATCAGCATGGAATTGGTGGTGGTGAGTTTTTGAGCTTATGTATCACCATTAAATCCTGGTTAAATCCTTCTTCACGATTGTTAATATCTCTGGATGAATTAAGAGAATCCCAGATAATCCTTTCAGGTGGCCAAAATAGCTCCCCGACAGGGAAGGTCCTCCCAGATGCCAAGGTGTCTGCGAGACAGGTAAGGGCCCTGCATGTGTTGGGCTGCAATCCACACAGTCAGAGGTAGAAACCACCATCAGCTCCTCGGGAGCAAGATTGGCATTTCTACTCTCGAAAACAGAGCATGGTCTCAGAACCCCACAGGGTCAAGGTTGCGATGGGTCAACCTTGACAGAGAGGGAGCGCGAGCTCTTGAACATGAAGCCTGGGTGCCCGGGTTCTGAGGCTGGAAGCCGGCAGGGAAACGCCTGAGGTGCCTCGGAAGGCCTATCTTCCGATATCACTGCAGACAATGCTTTGAAAAGGCGTGCTTTCCCTGGACAGTGGCGCCTCGTGCCCTCGAGGCAAGGAGGTGTGGAAAGCCCCGTCCCTCACCATCCAAAGGAGCAGATCGACGGCTAATTAAAGAAATCTGTCTCCAGCTGCAAGATAAAACACACATGCAAACAAACTCACTGCTGTTGAGTCGATTCCAATTTGCAGTCGGGACCGTGTAGCACAGAGAACTGCCCCTGCGCATACCCTAGACTACAACTTTTTTGGGGGGATTGGGGGGGACATGAGGGGGCGAGGATCTACAAACATCATGTTTAATTACCACCACTGCAAAAACTATTGTTTAGAAATATTACTCAAAGACTAGAGGAGCTCTGGTGGTGTAGTGGTTCCGCTTTGGGCTGCGATCCACATGGTTGGCAGTTCAAAACCAGCGGCAGCTCCTGGCCGGTAAACAGTTACAGTCTCAGAAACCCACGGGAGGTGGCCATGAGTCAGCACTGACTCATGGCAGTGAGGTTTGGGGGGGGGGGGGGTTTGTTTTGTTTTGTAATAGCAGACTGGCCTCAACTAGACTGAGGTTGAAGATGTCCCAAATGTCTTTTTTTCCCCCAAAAAAATGCTACACTGCCTCACTGCCCCTGATCTCCACCACGACTCCTCCCCTCCTGGCTCCACCCAAACGCAAACCCACTGTCATCCATGGATTCGACCTCACAGAGAGCCTGTAGGACGGGGTAGAACTGCCCCTGTGGGGTTCCAAGAATGTAGTGTCCAGCTGCTGGCCTTGAGGCGGGCAGCCCATGGGTACCCACCACGCACCCCAGGCTCCTGCCCCAGGTTTCGGGGTTCCCCAATTCACCGCAATGTCTCACAGAGCTCACACCATGTCAGGAAATGGCTCAGATAGTTTTAGAGGCTGGTCCGTCCCCAATCCGAAGTTCAGACATCCAAAGACCCCCTCCCCCATCAGGCTGCAGACTGTAACTTTTCATGGGAGTAGAAAGCCTGGCCTTTCTCCCCAGAGTGACCGGTGGTTTCCAACCACTGAGCTTGCGGGTAGCAGCCCCTGGTGTCATTCAAGGGCCCCCCAGGGCTCCTAGCTGCAAGATTCAAAATTAACCCCAAACATGCTCACTGCCATTGAGAACACCTCCCTGTCTGCTCGCTGGATTTTCAAAGAGGTTCGGATCCCTGCTTGCTGCATGGCTCCCCCTCTTCCACTTCCTGGTGGGCTGAAGTCATCTCGTCCCCCTCCGTCCTTAGGTATTAGGAGCGTGGAGGACGAGTCCCTTGGGTTTTTTGGTTCACTTGATGAGTCCTTGGTTTGGGGCCCCTCTCCTGTGGGTAGAGTTTTTTGCCCCAGTAACCTACATCAAATGAATCCAAGTTTTGGCGGGTTCTCCTGGTGGGGTAGTGGTGGCACGCAGGCCGCCATCCGCAAGGTCGGCAGTTCCTCCCTACCAGCTTCTCAGAGGGAGAAAGACAGGCCTTTCCCATCCTGAGAACAGTTACCGGCTCAGAAACTCCGGGGGTGGGGGTGGGGGGCAGCCCTACCTGGTCCCACAGGCTCGCTATGAATCAGAACTGGCTTGATGGCAATGAGTTGCTTGGGTGTTGACGGTCGTGGACAGGACCACACGTTCCTTCCACCGGGCGGGCTGAGACCCGAGTTCTGTGGATGACCTCACAATGCCCAGTCTTGCTGTGGCAGGAGTCCACCATGGGGGCCACCCTGTGGCTCCTGGGCCTTTCTCTGCCCACTCTGGGTGCCCAGATCCTAATCAGCTGTGCCTACAAGACTCTGTGCCAGCTGGCCTTACTGTCGGGTAATGATGTGGTCCTGCAGTGTGACCACCCCAACCCCCTCTGGTACTTCTCCTCCCTCCTGGAGAAGGAAGCCATTCTGCTCTCCTTCGTGCCCAACGTCAAGAAACTGCCCGCGGGAAGCCTGCAGCTGACCAACCCGCAGGCCTCCCAGACGGGCCTCTACAGCTGTCAGGACCGCAACAATGCCCTCGTGGTGGAGTACGAGATAGACTTCCAGGACGTCTCCAAACTTCACGTCACGCACAAGGACCTGGGCCAAGAGCCCCTGCAGAACGAGACGCTGGACCTGGATGGCAGGGTCCGCCTCTTCACCCACTGGGCACCCTGGCAGGACTGTAACCGCTGTGGGGAGCCGGGGGAACACAAGCGCCTGGGCTACTGCTACCTGGAGGAGCCTCAGGAAAAAGCCGTGCCCTGCAGGCTCTACCTGAGAACGGAGAAGGTGCAGTCCCGCCGCCTGCGGCCCGAACTCCAGGTGGAAGCCTGCCTGGCACCCTGCGACCACATCCAGGAGGTGTGCCAGCCTTACTTCATCTTCGACGTTTACCAGCCCAGCAAGCTGACTGACAACATCTGGCTCACCTGCCCCCTGGCCTCCATCTACAGGTGATAGGACCAGGGGCCCAGCCCTGCCTTTGGCCCTCACCCAGACTTTGCCTTCTGTGCCGTTAGGGCTAGAGCTTCCAATAGATCCTGAGGCTCTGCCTCCCAGCTCAGGAGCCTCCACTGTTAGTTCTGTTCAGATGTTCATTCAGCAAGAATTCCCCGGTGCCCACTCTGAGCCAGGCCCTGAGCAGGTGATGTAGGGGACCCAGTAGGGACCAACAGGCTCCTGGTGGTCAGATTTAAGGCGTGGAGACTAAGACACTCAATCACACGCTCGTGCCAAGATACACCTGGGTGTGGTGGTAGCTCCTGGCTAGAAGTAAGACACTTTGTCCGTCAATGCCGCAGTGTCTGCATTATTAAACCCCAAACCAAGTCTGCTGCCAGCAAGTCGATTCAGACTCATAGCACCCCTATGTAAGGTTTGCGAGGCTGTAAATCTATATGGAACCAGATCGCCTCCTCTTTGTACCCTGGAACAGCTGGTGGGTTTGAACCTCCAACCTCGTGTATCACAGCCCAAGGCTGACTGGATAGCGCCACCACGGCCGTCCCTCCTTAGACAATAACTCGTGGTGTCTGTTAGCATAAGCCTTCCAACTGTGCTCAGCAAGACTGTATTGGCGGTTATTGACCCTTTTGTTCCCTCGTACGTTGGGTCACTATGAGTCGGAATCTACCCGATGACACCCAACAAGAACAACCATTTGCAGTTCCCTAAAAATGTTGGACTCGGGCTGTAGCTTCCACCAAAATATCCCACTCCCCACCCCATGCACAACTATATAAAACATAAAATGCATGACTTTGGTTTTAAGTACACAATTCAGTGTGATTAAGTGCTTCACGACAGGGTGCAACCATCACCACTGTTCTAGAACATTCCCATCATTCCAAATGGAAACCCAGTGCTCATTGAACACAAATTCCCTCTCCCTTTCTCCCCAGGCCTTGGTAGCCACTGTTTTGCTTTATATCTGTAAGAATGCACTATGAATGAGTACGTGGGCTCATTTTAGGGTTGTCTTCCGTGGGCCGTGTTTCACTGATGCTCTGAAGGTCCATCTCTGTGGCAGGTTTCAGCACTGACCCCCTCTGGGCACAGTGAGAAGAGAGGAGATTCTCACTTTGTGCACGCACCTTGTGTTCTCCTTCCACCCATCTGTTGAGGAGCACTGGGTTTTTGCATCACTCAGTTACTGTGAATAGTCCTGCCACAGACACCGGCATGCGTTACACACTGAGCTGCTAACCGCAAGGTCAGCGGTTCAAATCTCCAGCCAATCCACAGGAGAAAGGTTGAGCTTTCTGCTCCTTTAAAGACGTGCGGCCTATAGGCTTTTCCATTTGGGGGTATAGGAACCCAGGATTGATGAACCTATAGGGACAGCAAGCAGAATAAGGGGTTCAGGGTGGGGTGGGGGTAAAAAGGAGATGATGTCAAGCAGTCCACGTGGAAACAATGGTTGGAAACTGATTGTAGCAGCAATTGCACAATTCCACTGAACAGGATTGAAATCTGGAATGATATATGCGTTAAATTCCAACTAATTAAGAATTTTTAAAAGATTTGCAGCCTCAGAAACCCAGAGGGACAGTTCGGCTCTGTCCTCTCGGGTCACTACGAGCCAGAACGGACCCGACAGCAGTGAGCTAGGCTTTTTCTTTCAAGGTGAGTCTCACTGAAAACTCACTGGCATCTAATCGATCCCAGGTCATGGCGACTCATAAGGCAGGGGGACCGCCCCTCCGAGTTCCCGAGACTGTCACCCTAACCAGAGTAGGAAGCCTCATCTTTCTCCCACAGAGCGACTGGTGGTTTCAAACTGCCGACCTGGGCATCTAGGTGGCTGACTCAGAACCACGGCACCACCAGGGCTCCTCTTAAGATGGGGGCAGTTGGGTGATTCCCGGCTTTGCATCAGGTTTTCAGCGGCTGCTTCCTCCAGAGTGGTAGCTGATTCCTTCTTTGGTTAGCTTATTGACTCGGGATTTCTAATGTAAGGGGTTATAGCAGCACATTCCCTTCTTAGCACTGTTTTAGCGGAATCCCCGAAGTCTTGGGATGCTGTGTGTTCCGTTTGATTCACCTCAAGCCATTTTCTCATTTCTCCTGTAAGGTCTTTTACAAACTGGTGGTTTAGGAATGTTTAATGCCTGCAGGTTGCTGAATTTCCCAATGTTCCGTCGATTACTGATTTCTACTTTTCTTCCATTGCAATGGGAAATGATGCTTTGTATGATCCTAATCTTTTTAAACCATTGAAGACATGTTTTGTGACCTAAGATGTGGTCTATCTTAGAGAATATTCCTGTGTACTTGAGAAAAATGTGTGTTAGAGTTTTCTGTATGTCGATCTGCTCTACGTGATTGGTAGTGTTGTTCAAACCCACGTTTTCCTAGTGATCTGGTTGGCCTTTACATTATTGAAATTGATGTATTTTGGTCTCCACCTATTTTTTTAAAATCGTTTTATCAGGGGCTCATACAACTCTTATCACAATCCATGCATACATCAATTGTGTAAAACACATTTGTACATTCATTGTCCTCATCATTCTCAAAACATTTGCTCTCCCTTTAAGCCCTTGGCATCAGCTCATTTTCCCCCCTCCCTTCCCGCCCCCCCCTCCATCATGAACCCTTGATAATTTATAAATTATAATTTGTAATATCTTACATTGTCCAACGTCTCCTTTCACCCACTTTTCTGTTGTCCGTTCCCGCCAGGAAGGAGGTTATATGTAGATCCCTGTAATTGGTTCCCCCTTTCCAACCCACCCTCCCTCCACCCTCCTGGTATCGCCACTCTCACCACTTACCCTCAAGGGATCATCCATCTGGATTCCCTGTGTTTCCAGTTCCTATCTATACCAGTGTACATCCTCTGGTCTAGACTGATTTGTAAGGTAGAATTGGGATCATGCTAGTGGGGGTGAGGGTGGGGGTGGGAGGAATCATTAGAGAACTAGAGGAAAGTTGTATGTTTCTTCGTTGCTCCACTGCACCCTGACTGACTCATCTCCTCCCTGAGACCCTTCCGTAAGGGGATGTCCAGTTGCCTACAGATGGGCTTTGGATCCCCAATCCGCACTCCCCATCGTTCACAATGATTTGATTTTTTTGTTCTTTGACGCCTGACACCTGATACCTTCAACATATCGTGATCACACAGGCTGGTGTGCTTCTTCCATGTGGGCTTTGTTGCTTCTGAGCTAGATGGCCGCTTGCTTACCTTCAAGCCTTTAAGATCCCAGATGCCATCTTTTGATAGCCGGCACCATCAGCTTTCTTCACCACATTTGCTTATGCACCCATTTGTCTTCAGCAATCATATTGGGGAGGTGAGCGCACAATAATATGATTTTTTGTTCTTTGATGCCTGATAACGGATCCCTTCAGCACCTTGTGATCAAACAGGCTGGTGTGCTTCTACCATGTGGGTTTTGTTGCTTCTGAGCTAGATTGCTGCTTGTTTACCTTCAGGTCTTTAAGACCCTAGACACTATATCTTTTGATAGCCGGGCTCCATCAGCTTTCTTCACCATTTGCTTATGCACCTGCTTTGTCTTCAGCGTTCATGTGGGAAGGTGAGCATCATGGAATGCCAGTTTAATAGAACAAAGTATTCTTGCATTGAGGGAGTACTTGAGTGGAGACCCAATGTCCATCTGCTACCTTAACACTAAGCCTATAAATATATGTACATAGAGCTATTTCCCCATCCTCATATATAAATATATTTGCACATGTACATGCCTTTATTTAGACCTCTATAAATGCCCTTTGCCTCCTAGCTCTGTCCTCTATTTCCTTTGACTTTCCTCTTGTCCCACTATCATGCTCAGTCTTCATTTGGGTTTCAGTAATTCCTCTTGGGTACATTACCCTTGGTCACGCCCTACCAGGCTTCCTACACCCTGCTCACCACCGATTTGGATCACTTGTTGTTCCCTTGTCCCTGGGTTTGTTAACACCACTTCCACCTCCCCCTCTCACATGTCACCTGGTCTCCACCTATTATTGTAGGCTGTGTTTCTTCCTTAATTCTCACGATTTTTGATTCACCTAGTTGGGGCTTTGTTGCTAGGTACATTGTTGTTGTTGTTTTTGTTAGGTGCCATCGAGTCCGTTCCAAAGCATCCCCACCCTATGTACAATGGAATGAAACATTGCCCAGTCCTGCACCATCTCACAATGGTTCCTATGCCTCAGCTCCTTGTGCAGCCACTTGAGGGCCGTGAGTCTGGTTGGGGGTGTATATCCCTTTAAGGAGAACTTATGCATCTTCTTTCATCTGTTGTGTTATTGTTCTCCTGTGTGAGGGGGCTTCATGCAGTTTATGAGAAAATGAGATTGAAAGCTAATGAAAAATTCCATGAACTTTTAGAAGCCCGTCGTACTTTCACTTGAATGCATTTAAAACCCGACAAGGCATTTGAAAAGCATTCTATATTAATTTCTTTCCTCCCGCCTATTTACCCTTGTGTTCTTTTCATTCCCTTCTTACCATTTGAAATCATTTTCCTGCTGCCTTGAGAAGTTTGGTCAGCTCTACGTTTAGTGTGCTCTGTTGCAGTGAATCCTCTGGTTTTGTTTGCAAATGCCCTTATTTTGCTTGCATTTTGCAGTGTTCTTTTTTTTCACGGAGTCGGGGGCAGGCCCTCGCTTGGAAAACATTCTTTCCCTCGAGGTCCATGTAGCTCTTTAGCACCCTCCATTCAGGTGTCTGTTGAAGTCTTCGCTCTTGAACTCGTCCTCCAATGGCTCGTGTGTTCACACATCACCCTGTCCCCATTTCCCTGCTCTGGACGCATCTCAGGGATCCGCCAGCGAGGAGCCCATCTGTGTTGGTGCCTCGTCTCTCCCACTAGATGCTGAACCCAAGAGGAGTAAGGGTTCCGGCTAGCCTGTTCAACGCTGTGATGAGAACACTGACCGGGCTGCACTGGGCATTCAGTGCCACTGTCAGAGGATGGAGGGGAGCGCAAGTCTGCACAGTCGTTTATTTTTTTCCACTTCAGACTGGGAAGAAGCCCGACCGAGAACGAAAACATTCATTTGCTTAAAATGAACTGAGTTATGTGGCTAGCTGTCCGGAGTGCCAGGAACCGGTGCTGGCCAAGGTCTTGAGGCAGGAGCCCATCTACTGGCCTGACCTGTTCAAGCTACGCGGAGACCAGCCTGGCTGGAGAGGAGGGTCTGAGAGGGAGAGAGGCCAAGAGGGCAGAAGCAGAACCAGAGCGGGGGCACTTGTCCTCTGCTCTGTCCCTGGCATCGCGTTGTGCCCAGGACATGCACAGAGAGCGTTTCAGGAAGCTGGTGCCGAAGGTTCTTGGTTGGCACGTTCCTCTTCCAGGGGCATCCTGAGACTGTGGTCTCACCGCTTGGGGAACAGCCAAGCCTGAAGAAGCAAATGAAGTGGCCCCCACTGGAGATCCCCTTGCAGAGGGGTCTCAGGGAGGAGATGAGCCAGTAAGGGTGCGATGTAACAATGATGAGAAATACAACTTTCCTCTAGTTCCTAAATGTTTCCTCCTGGCTCCCACTACCATGACTCGAATTCGACCTTGCAAGTCTGGCTAGACCAGAGGAGGTACACTGGTACAGATAGGAACTGAAAATACAGGGAATCCAGGGCGGATGATCCCTACAGGACCAGTGGTGTGAGTGGCAAAACAGGGAGGGTAAAGGGAGAGTGGGTAGGAAAGAGGGAACCGATTACATGGAACTGTGTGTGACCTCCTCCCTGGGGGACGGACAACCGAAAAGTGGGTGAAGGGAGACGTCGGACAGGGCAAGATATGACAAAATACCCATTTATAAACTATCAAGGGCACATGCGGGAGGGGGGAGCGGGGAGGGAGGGGAAAAATGAGGACCTAATGTCAGGGGTTTAAATGGAGAGAAAATGTTTTGAGAAACGATGTACAAATGGGAGGGGAAAAATGAGGACCTAATGTCAGGGGTTTAAATGGAGAGAAAATGTTTTGAGAAACGATGTACAAATGCGCTTTACACAATTGATGTGTGTATGGATTGGGATAACAGTTGTATGAGCCCCTAATAAAATGTTTAAAAAAAACCCCAAAAAACAAATGAAGTGTCCCCCTTTCCCAGGTTAAAGAGCCTGCATAGGAATTGGACAGGGCTGTCAGGACCAGGACGGCTAAAGGGACAAACGGATCTGTCTCCGAAGAAGTGCAGCCAGCGTGCTCCGCAGGGGTGAGGATGGCGAGGCTTCGTCTTCCTACTTCGGACATGTGGTCAGGAGAGACCAGTCCCTGGAGGAGGATGTCATGATTGGTGGAGGAGGGGGCAGCGAGGAGGAGGAAAGCCCTCCAGGAGATGGACGGACACCGTGGGCTCAGGCTTAGGGACAATTGTGAGTGTAGCGCAGGAGTGGACAGTGTTTCCGTTCTGTTGTGCAAAGGGTCCCTATGGGTCAGTACCAACTGGATGGTACCTGGCAACAACAGCATCAACTAATGCCAAAGGGAACAGGAGAGTGACCTCCCACACCTGTGCTGTGTGACCTCCCACACGTGTGCTGTGCCCTGCGAGGCTTCCTGCTGCAGCTTAGGGTTGAGGGCTGAGTTCCAGGGGTGACCTCACAATGGCCCAGGTGGTGCCCGGGGGGCCCCCAGCTGCAGTGCAGTCCACCATGCTGGCCACCCTGGGGCTGCTGCTCAGCGTTGCTCTCTCCACGTGGGGGTCGTATGTTTCCATCAGCTGCCCCACGCATGGTCACTGCCGACGGGCACTACTCTCTGGAAATGACATCATCCTACGCTGTAACAAGGCCCCGGCAAGCTGGTACTACCAGCAAGAGGAGTCGAGTCAGCCTCTTGCCCTCTCTAGTGTCTCCAACATACTAGTAATGGAGGGCAGCATTCTCATTAAAAGTCCACTGCCCTCCCAGACGGGCCTCTACAGCTGCCTGGACAGCACGGGCCACCAAGTGTCGCAATATGAGATAGACTTTCAGGACGTCACCGCCTTGCATGTCACGCACAAAGACCTGGACCAGGAGCCCCTGCAGAAGGAGACGCTGAGCCTGGACGGCAGGGTGCTCATCTTCACCCGCTGGGAGCCCTGGCAGGCCTGTAACCACTGCGAGGCGCCCGGCGAGCGCAAACGCCTGGGCTACTGCCACGTCCAGGAGCCCCTGGAGGAGCCGGTGCCCTGCAGCCTCTACCTGGGGAAGATAAAGCCCTGGTCCAGCCGCATCCGGCCAGAGCTACAAATAGAAACCTGCTTCGAAGCCTGCAACATGTCCCGAAGAGCCAGCGCCGAGTTCACCCTCTTTGACAGCTTCACTCTCAACGCAGAATCGGACTCCGTGTGGCTCACCTGCCCCCTAGGATCTATCTACAGGTGACGAGACTCGGGCCGCGCTCGGGCCCTGCCCCCTCCCCAGGCTCTGGAGGTCTTTCATGGCCAATGTGGGCAGAGAGGAGGGGCTGCCCACACTGGCTTCCTCCACTGGCTTTTGCTCAGACCCTGGGAAGAATCCCATGACGCCCACACACTCCCAAACAACACACAGAGAACGGACTGCCGCCGCCCCCTGAGCACTCAGCTGCCTGGTGGCTTATGCTGGCCAACACGCAGGACACTGAAGCCATCCACATGCACCAGTCCTTGCCCTGAGAAAGCCCCCCATGCAGCCAGAACCGAGCTCAGCTCCAGCGGAGAGGAGCAAACCCAAGGAGTGTGATGGGGGCTGGGCTGGAGGCTGTGGGGGTCTCTGGAAAGAGATCTCACTCCCTGAGGAGAGTCCAAAGGAGCTCTTGGTGGGAGTAGAAAGCCTTGTCTTTTTCCAGTGGAGCAGCTGGTGGTTTTGAACTGCCGACCTCCAGGTGAACAACCCAAGCACGGCACCACCTCCTCTAACTTTGCAGAGGCATGAGCTAATGTGTTTCAGGTGGTCCGCCTGGTGACAATAGTAGTCAAAGTCTATGGCGTATCCCTCTGCTCCTTAGCAATGTTGGGCGTGTTACAGGCCTGATCCGCTTATCCGTATGTTCCGGGCACTGTCCCAGGCCTCTGGGAAGCAGTGAGAAAGACTGGCCACGATTCCTGCCCTTGTGGAAGAACAAATCAATGGCACGAGTAGACAGCGCAGTTGGTGGTGGTGGTGGTGGTGATGGGGTGGTTCCACTCTGGGCTGCCGTGCGCAATTCAAAACCACCCGCCGCTCTGCCTTCTACTCCCACAAAGTGTGACTGTCTCAGAAAGTCCCAGGGGCAGTTCTACCCAGCGCAATAGGGTCGCTGTGAGTCGGCTTTGACTCACTGGCAGTGAGTTTGCGGTTTGGGCGGCATGGTGAGTTAGGCGCAGTGGGCTGCTGACTGCAAGGTTCAAACTCGCAGGCTGGTCCCTGGGAGAAAGATGAGCATTTCTGTTCCCATAAAGACCGACTGTCTCGGAAACCCTCAGTGGATGGATCGCTCTGAGGAGACCTGGACTCGGTGGCAGTGGGCAGAGTGGTGGGGTCTCTAGTGCTTTCCAGGGAGCCCTGGTGCCACCGTGGACCGCCCACTCAGAGGGACCCGGTGTACCTCCGCACAAACCCTGCCCGTCCGCACCGTCCTCACAGTCGCTTTGTCTGAGTCATGGTCAAGGGCCTGCCTCTCTTTTGCTGCCCTTCCCCATTACCCAGCACGAGGCTACTGGTCCCTCCTGACAACATGTCCAAAGTTGGGGGACCAAGCCTCGCCATCCTGACTCCTCCGGGGCATCATGGCTGCACGCCTTCCCAGACAGGCTAGTGTGTTCTTTTGGCAGTCCGCGGGACATTCCAGCTCATTCTCCGGCAACATTCACGTGCACCGATTCTTCCTCAATCTTCCTCATTCAGCTTCCCTCCATATGAGGAAGAGAAAATGCTTACAGCCCCACTATTCAGCAGAGGCCATAGAGCTAAAAGCATTTCACACACACACACACACACACACACACACACACACACACACACACACACACACCGCCACCCTTGGTCATGGGAAGGGTGGCTGTGTTTTCTGTCCCCCAGGGAGAAGGGTGGCACTGTGCCCACCTCCCTCAGCTGCCCGCCCTTTTTTCCCTTGTCGTCCTTGCAGGCCGCTCATCTGGGAAGCCAACAACACGCCCTTGACCTGGCAGAGCCAGCTGTCCGGCCAGGGCCTGGGCTCAGTCCTGGACATCGCCAGTGGCGGCCGGCGCCTGCGCATCTTCCAGCCGGCCATCTACACGTGCTTTGTGCAACAAGAGTTCGTGGCGAGATTCAACCCCGTGGATGACCCAGGGGTGCTGGACCGCTGGGGGAGAAGGGGTGCCCGAGGGCACAATGCAGGGAAGGCCCCGTGGGCGGAGGCAGACCCCATCTTTAAGGGGCTGAAGCTTGTTCTGCTGGTGGGCACCGTCCTGGTCCTGGCCGGGGCGCTGTTCAAGTTCATCCGCCGTTCCCTGAACAGGAGGTTCCCTCAGGTGTTGCTGGTGAAATAAAGCGAGCCCCGGGCACCTGAGGGTTGGCCTCCTCTTCCTCTGTCCCTCAGCAGTACCGCATGCTGCCCTGCTCCAGGCCAGCAGGGTCCTGGGGGCCCAGTGGGCTCACTCATTGGCTGCTAACCTCAAGTCCAGCAGTTCAAACCCACCAGCCACTCCGAGGGAGGAAAAGGAGGCTCTCTGCTCTGATAGAGATTTACAGCCTCGGAAACCCACGGGGGCACTTCTACTTTGCCCTATAAAGTCGCAGAGAGTCAGAATGGACCCACAGGGGGAGAGAGTTCGATGCCAGTCCCACCAGTCACTCTGGGGCTCCATGTGACCCCAAACACACCTGTGGTGGAAGCTCCACAGGTGAGGAAATGGAGGCAAGTCCACTTATGCCAGCCCTGAGGGGGGACTGCACTTGGAGCCCACGTTGCCTGCCTCAAGCCCCTGGGTTCCTCCGAGGCAGACAGCTAGGAGAAGGCTGTGCTCCGGGGTGAGCCTCTGGGGTGATAAACCCAGCCCACCTCCCAAGGGACAAGGACTGACCCCTCAGACCGGCACCAGGCCCCTGCCTTTCTCCCCTGCCCCACATCCTGCCTTCCTCAAAGTGTGCCTGGAGTATCCACGTCCCACCCTCTCCCCCCAAGTCAGAGCAGGGTGGTGGTCCAGGCAAACCCGTCTGCCAACACCCTCCACCCCCGTCCCTGGCAGCTGCTGCAATAAGAAGCCCCCCCTCTCAGAGCACAAGGGGGAGCATCAGGCCTGGCCCAGTCAACACCCCCACCCCCCACCCCCCGGGAATCACCAGACTGGCTCTTCCCAGAAACGGCAGAGTCTGCTTCGCAGAGTGAGAGATAAAATATTGATGCCTGGTAAAATTCATTGCCCTAATACTGCACAGTGACGCCCTGGCAGGAGAGAGATGAAAACTGAGCCCAGAACAGGCCTTCTGCCCCCAGCCACAGAGGGAAGAGTCACCCCGCCCCCACCCCGCCTTCCAGGGACTCAAAGATGAAGAATGTCGGGGATGAAGTCGGGGGCTGCTCAGTGAGCATTCAAGGGGGGCTGTTGGGAGGCCTGAGGAGGTACGGACAGAAAAGTGACGCTCAGACTGCTGGGTGGCAAGAACCCGCTGCAGCATCGGGTCCTGGGGAATCCAACGAGACTTGGGGTGACTGTGACCCCTAACCTCATTTGTAGCCCAGAACATCAAAGCCCAGAGGGCGCAAGTGAGCTGCCCAAGGTCACACAGTAGAGAGAGACCTCCTGGAGCAGCTCCCTCTGATTGCTCCGAGGCTCCTCGAAACCCCAACAGCCCCTGCTGCATGTGGAGAGGCCGGAAGCAGGACAACCGGAGACCCGGCACTGAGGTCCACACAAGCTTCACAACCCTTCGCTGGTCCCCGAGTGACCTCCAGTGATTGACCATCTCGTGGTGTCCTCCTCTTGATCTGGCCCCTCCCCTCGAGGCTGGAGAGGGCTTGTGGCTGACATCATGGAAGACGCTGTTTAAAGGCCCGAGCCAGCTGTATCCTTGCCGGTTTGATGAAGCTGCTGTGTTGAAGAAGCCCATGGCGGGCAGCCTCTTGGCACCCCAAGGAGCCTCGGGGACCAGAGGGTGGCCTTCGGTTGATAGTCAGCAGAGAGCCATCCCCTCCGTCACACCACCACAAGAGAATACATTCTGCCGTGAATCTGGAAGCAGGTTCTTCCCCAGTCAAGCTTCCAGATGAGAACCCAGCTCTGCTTGCACCTCAACCGCAGCTGTGTAAGACCCCGAGTGGAGGACTCCGCTAAGCCATGTCTAGAGTCCTGGCTCAGACACTGTGAGATTAGCAATGCGATTGCTTTCAGCCGCTGAATTTGTAGCAGCCACTGAATATGCAGCAATAAACAACAAAGGTGCCCCGCCCCGTACTTCCTAGTGGCTCCCTGCAGTCCCCCTGCAGTCCCTGCAGGCAGGCCAATGGGTCTCCCTGTGACCCAGGTCCACGCCTTCCTGACTTCCTTGAGGCTGTGAGGCTCCTGTGGGCCTGTGGACCGGGCTGGAAGCTGGACAGTTGGCATTCTCAGGACCAATCCCTAACCATGGGGGGCGACGAGCTGGAGGGGGGCCGTTTCGTTCCTCGCCTGTCGCCGGTACAATTCTGAGGCGCGGCCGACACATTCCCTCTCAGAATTTTCCGTTGTTGACAGTCATAACCAGTTGCTGAAGGTGTCGTTGACCCCTGTCCCTCCCTCCTGCTTCCAGGGATTGTTACTCCAGGTTTTGTTGAAGCCCCACACTCCCGCCCCTTTCCAGGCACTCTGAAGACGCTGATGGGAGACCTTGTCTTGTCTCACACATCCCTCAGACTCCGACGACATTCTCTCCATCTCTTTGCCACAGAGGACCTTCCGACCCATCTGTCTTCAAATTCATGTTTGTCCTTTTGCTATTGGGCCAGCTCCGTGCATTGTCCCCGGGTGGTTTTCTTCCGTTCTAAAATATCCAGTCGCTTCCTTCGATGTGCTGTTTCCATCTGTATCCATGTTCATCTTGGCTTGTAGGGGAACCAAAACCGACACCGGAGAATTGCTAACTCAGCAGCCTACAGGGGTCGGACAGGAAACAAATGCGGGGAGGCGTGGGGCTTTGGAGACTTCTTATTCTTGGGGTCGGGGGAACAGGTAAGGGTGGGAAACAGGACCAAGCAGGAAGGGAGTCTATTGGGACAAACTCAGCCTCCACACGGGAAGGAGTCTGGGAGGCCAAGGCTCCCGGGGAGGAAACCTTCACATTCTGGTTTGGAGAGGCGTCCCACGCACATTCTCCTAAGTAAAAGTTATTCCCCACGCTGTCCCCCCAAAATAATGCCAACTAAGGTGTGGGATGCAAACACATAGTCATTGACTACACACTTGGAGGTCGACCGCTTGAAGGTGATCTGCCTGAGGGTTGTCGGCCACCTAGAACACTCAGACCCCATTGTCTGTCCCACCCTAAGCAGGACTAACTCCCTTCTAATGGGTGGTTCCCCTGAAGGAGAGCCCAAAGGCACCGAACGAAGGTCAAGCCCACTCGGGTGACCAAGGTTAGGCTACCCTCTTGACTCTCTTCTTGTTACATGTGTGCCTTCTGTCACTTGTATGCCCCTAGTGTCTCCCCTTCCTATTGCGTGGACACCCCTAGATCATCCCCCTCCTGTTGCATGTATGCCTCTTGCACACCCCCTTCCTGTTATGGCTGTGCTTACCGTGGCCTGCGTGCCCCAGATTACGTAAGCTTGTGAGGTCACGGATCTCTCCTCTGGCCTGGCTCCTGGAGCCATGACGGTGAAGTGAGCCCGGGCACGCACGCTTGCCTGATGTCTCTTTAATTGACCCCTCAATCACACAACCGCCCCTTGGACCCCTTCGGTTGTGGGGAGGCTGGTCCCTCACAGGTAGGTAGAGATAGGTCATAAAAGTCTTGCCGACATGTTGATTGTGATGCAGGGACGTGGACCTGGTTCTCAAGTGATCCTGGAAAGTGAGGTGCTTCTAGTAAAACTGTGCAGTTTTTAAGTGGTGACTCCAAGAGTGATCAAGCACAATATGGTTGTGACTGTTCGGTGCTCTCCGTCCATGTCAACCCATGGGGACCCTGTGCTTGAGCCCCTGTTGCAGCCACTGTGTCAACCCATCGCCTCTGGTTTGTTGACCCTCTGCTTGTCCAAGTATGACGGCTTCTCCAGGGACTGGTCTCTCCGATAACAGGTCCGATGGGAGACACGTGTCTCCATCCTTGCTTCTGAGGAGCATTCTGGTTGCGCTCCTCCCGAGACAGGTTGGCTCTTTTGATGGTCCGTGATGTTCTCACGATTCCTCCAGCGCCACCGTTCAAGGCATCGATTCGTCTCTGACCTTCTTAGTCAATGTCCAACCTTCACATGCCCATGAGGCAGACACAGCCCGAGCCACATAGACCATGTCTGTTGGCTGACCTCAGCCCACAGGTGAGCTCTTGCTTCAACCTTGATTACCGTCACATGTGTATTTCCTGTCTCGATTATTCTTGCGATCAATCTTGAGATGGCATCTAGCAAGGAAGCACCAGAGCCCGCGTGGAAGAAGCACCCCAGCCCGTGTGGTCGCAAGGTGTCAACAGGATCAGGTATCAGGCATCAGAAGACCCCAAACAAACAAATATGTCGATGCAATTGATGGGGGTTGGAGTGGAGACCCAAAGCCCATCTGTAGACAATTGGCCATCCCCTCACAGAAGGGGCGCAAGGAAAGGACGAGACAGCCAGGGTGCAGCACAGCACCGATAGAATACACAGTTCTTTAATATTTCTTCCTCCCCCACTATCATGACCCCAGTTCTCCCTTACAAATCTGGCTAGACTGGAGCATGCACACTGGTATATATATATATGAACTTTTGACACATGGAATCCAGGACAGATAAACCCGTCAGGGCAGTGATGGGAGTAGCCATACCATGAGGGTGGGGGAATGGTGAGGGGTGGGGGGTGGAGAAACGGGGAACCAACTACAATGATTGACATGTAAACAGCCCCACCCACCCAGGGGGACAAACAACAGAAACACGGGTGAAGGGAGACAGCAGATGCTGTAAGATATGAGAAGAAGAATAATTTATAATTTATCAGGGGTACATGATGGTGGGAGGGTGGCGGAGGGAGGGGGATAAAGAGGAACTCAAGCAGAAAGAATGTTTTGCAAATGATGATGGCAATATAGGTACAGATGTGCTTGATACAATGGATGTATGGATGGTTCTAAGAGTCCCCAATACAATGATGTATTAATTATAAATGAATGAATGAAATATTGAGATGGAACGGGCAGCTCAGCTTCTCTGAAGGGGTTGGCATTTTAGGTAAGCACTAATGACGAAAAGAAAGATGATGGGGGTGCAGGGAGGCGGAGCAGAGGAAGGAAGGAAAGAGGAAAAGAAAAAGCTGAACAAGTCTAGATCCAGAGGGGGGATGGTGCCCATCGCCGCTGGACCAACGATAACTGTT